TATTTTAATTACGTTGTAACAAACCATGCCCTCTACGACGGTGACGCATACGTACTGCGTTAATGTACATATATACGTGATCCAAGAAGTGTTTATCATTTGACAAACACGTGGTGAATCTACGAGTTTACATGTTGTATAAGGGACTACCCTCGTCACGTAACTGGACTCTTCCAACTGTTTATAGCGCCTTACCAAGGAGTTTCTGTAGTAGCTATTTCGTGGCGCTACTTCTATGACGCCGTGTCGTCAACATTTTACTACAAAGAAAACGTAGTACAACGCCAATATAGAAGCTTCACTTCAAAATAGTTTAAGAATCCGGTTCTTCTCGCCATAACTGTTCGCAGTAATGTCTCCAGTCGTTTAAAATTGTAATTTAAACGTTTTTTCCTTTCCTCGTATAATTTCGATTTAATATCCAATATACTACTTGTAAATTAAAACATCAAAAAAGAGTAATTGTTCATTTGATGTTCCAAAAGTAAATTTTATAGATTTTTGAATAGAGTTCTTTATTTTATAGATTTACATCATGGTCAATGATTACAATCAATGTGTCCTGTGAATGAAAATATTACACTTCACGGAAAATGTACATTTTACACCTAGTTCCCAATGAACTTGAACTGCTTTTTAATTCATTGTTCAAGCCTATTTTTAACTTCAATCACTCGCTCACGCATTTTTATCAAATTTTAATAGACAGTTTTAATAACATCCAAGCTATTTTTAAAAACGGCAAAAGACGTAATTCAATTTGTTTTCAAATGGAATTTTTGTAATAGTTTTATTTTAGAACAATGTTTTTATGCTCATATTTTCGTTTTTTTTTTTGTGCTGTTAGTTGTTATTTTATGAAGCTGATTAAGAGACTAGTGTAACTTTTTTATGAAATGGCATTATTTGTTTATTGTTTATAATACTTATAAAACAACAGTGACGCTTAAACTTAACTTCAATTACAATTATAACTCTAATTCAATTTAAATATCACAGGAATTCTATACCATATCATATTGCCTTACTGACCTACCAAAACTTTTATTATTTATTGTTAACCTTGGCTCTAGACAAGTAAAAAACAAACACGTACGGCACGTGTATAAACAATTAACCATTTAGGACACGCGCAACGACCTAACTACAAAAGAGATAAAAATTGTAAAAATATATTGGAAGAAACACAACTAAGTAATAGCTTCAAAAAAACTTAAAGCAAAACACAATACAAATAAATCAACAGCAGACTGACCTGCAAATAAAATCAAAGACCAGTACCAAATAAATATTCGGCAATGCCTCATTCGAATTCTTCGAAATGGTGGATAGGGAGACGACAATCGATGGAATGGCCAGTGGGATCTCCTGATCTAATGCCATTAGATTACTTCTAAGGATGAAAAATAAATTTAAATATAGCAAAAAAGACGAAATAAGGCAATTATCGTATTCTTTTTTTTTTTTCTTATGGTGCCTATAAGTTACGTCTATCGTTGTTCATTGGGTACCCATTATATGGCTCTTTTTCGTTGGTAACTTTGCCTATTTAGGAAATCCTCAACATGCGTCTACAGCACCACATTTCAAAACTAACATATACCTTGCATTAAAAACAATATTCGAAAAGAAACGTTTTTAACACAATGTCTAAACTATTACATATGTGAGTGAAGCATTGGAATTATATAAAAAAAAACGAAATAACAGCTATCAAAAATCTTAGAATTGCTGCAAATAACCAAATGGATAGATACAGAAATAAAGAAATTAGACAACAGGTAAATCAAGAAAACCTATGAAAAAAATTAATAGAAAACAGTTGGGCTACTACGGACATACAGGCTTGGGATAAAGTATGGAACCAACTAAATATATTTGATATTAATGAAACTTTGCATGCAAGTACAATGGAACATAACGCATCTGACGCCATATTTTTTATTATTACTACATTTCCGGTTTCATCAGAAATACCCTCAACTTATTTAATTCAATAGGACACCCATTATCCTAATCCTTAAATACCAAGTTTAGTGACAACAAATTGTTAAAACAAGAAATAAATCACTTTATAGTTAAAGAATAGGTAAATTTATTTACCAAGAATTTTAGAAAATCACTTCAAATGTTTAAAATGCTCACCGTTCACCTCCTGACAATGTGCATGTTCACCTCCTATTATTAAATTCATGAGTCACTCTTTCCGTGACTGCTCCACATATTATTTCACATTCATCAACAATTTTTTGTTTAATCTTTGTTTAGATAACCCAAAAGAAAAAAATCTAAAGGTTCAAGGTCCACAGATCGAGCAGGCTAAAAGCACTTTAGCACTCTATGCTAAAATTGGCATTCAAAAAATGTCTAATCTGTCGATAACTGGGGAAGTGCCCATCTTATTGAAACCAAAGATTTTGTTGGTGGTAATTGGCCATTCTGTTGAAGTCCAGGAATAATTTGCTTAGTTAGTAAATTTAAATATGTGTCACCTATCAAGTACTTGGTCTATGAAAAATAGGTCTACAAGCTTATTTTGGATAATTTCCACCCAAACATTAACTTTTTTAGATGCTGTCATAACCAGTATAATAAAATTTCATAACATACAAAAAGTGTAATCATTATTGAGACACACCCAGAAGAAGCCCAAATGTATACCATGTAGAAGAAATTAATAAAATAAATAATGCTTAAATATAAAGCATTTAAGTAGGTACAAAGAAAAGATAATTTTCTGTAAGAAATTTAGACACCAAAGTACCCTTTATGAATCAACTAGTATTTATGGAAAAGTACTGAACACTATTCCAAGTTTATAGTAAACAAAATAAATGACATGAATGGTATTTGCAAGGTTAAAATAAAAGAAAAAAAATATCAATTATTTTGTTTATAGAGTAATGTTATCTCAATTGTAGTTTACATTAAACAAATAATTACAGAAACACCCTTAATTAAAAGTTGTTTTTTGTAAACAAATATTAATGAAAAAAATATTTACTTAAATTTTGATCTCATTTCCCAAAAACACAATAGTGTTATTATAAAATTGTGTTTATCTCTAAAACTAGGTACTGAAATTGACAAATTCCCAAGTATGACCAATGTTATCATATTCAACATAATTATCATATCCAACAATTAATTTATATGGAAAACTACAGCTGATTAGGGGACCAAAAGGAACTATTACTTTTGATAAAAGTCTTATCATTATGAAATTATGTACATTAATTCATAGAACATTTACTTAGGTTTAGTCATGTATGTTGCAATTACTTCCAGTTAAGTAAAAACCTTGTGTGTATCATAAACTATTTGTTTTATAGAATAAAAACAACATATTTGGGTAAATTACGAATAATTACGCTTACATTTTTTCTGGGAATGAATCATGTTTGTAATTAAAAATTACATATTTTACTGATGTTTTAATTTCCATTTCCTTTGCTACTTCTTTTTTAGCAAACTTTTGAATTTGTTATTTTCCACTAGAAGAATTATACTATTTTTTTTTTATTTGGTGGTAGTGTTCCAAAAGGTTACACTGAAGAAGAGAAAAACAGAACATTTGCTCAAAAAACTTACAATCAAGTACACTCTTCTAGTGAAAATGGTATATTTAAAAAATTACTAAAATAATGAAAATATCCAAAAGAATTACAATTTTCACTAGAACGTTTTGATTAGCATACAGGCAGTGAAAACTTGAGTATTTGCAAAGCAAACAGCCACTTTAAAAGGTGTAAAAATCTATGGATTGCATTTTAAATGTTGTAAAAGTTAAAATTGTAAGGACATAAAATTGATGAAGGAAGATTTAATGGAAAGGGAATATAGTGACCCTTGCTCGAAATGGTGACCATGTGTGGATTTGGACAAAGATACCAGTCAACTCTTTGGACTTGAGAGTCGCCTCCAGGACATGTGAATTCAACAGGGTTTAAATTGCTGGCAGAAATAAACAGATTAGTAAGGTCAGGTTTACCGGGCATGGTGTTTGATGAGTGGCAGTTTTTATGTTTTGAACAAGAAAAGTTTTAAGGGGGTAACTTCTGCTCAGAGAAAATAATATGTCATTACTGGCAATTGTGGTTTATGCAGATTATTCCTTTTCAAATTTATTAGTCTTTGTGATTGTGTAAAGTGAGTAAAGAGCAGATATTTGCTCAATACTGACTAGCTCAATAATTATTGACTATAACTTTTTTAAGAATGATTATCAAACCCAGTTTACACTATGTTGAAGTAGGGGCATCTTCTTGTCTAAGTAAATCTATTTATAGCTAAAATATGATAATCACTTCTTCAACATATTTTCTCATAAGGTTACCCAAACAACTGCTTATAAAAAATGCATTATGTGATAACATCAAGGTATATACATATGGCTTTTTTGTATATTCCTTCATCTGCTGTTAGGGATGTACATTTTATAAAAAATATCTATTAAAATAGACCCTGTGTGTTCAAAACATTCATTTTCTACTGTTATATTCAGTGGTATAGAAAAGACGAAAATTGTATAAGGCACAGATTTAGGCAATAGCCTGAATTTTGGTTTCAAATAAGTAGAAATCTTCGAATTTCTACTTTTTGTTGTTTTTATATTCAATAACTATTTATATTCAATTAAAAACGAAACTTTCCATATTCCAATAAATACATCATTATTATGGGGAGTCTCCCAAGATATGAGTCACATACATAGTTATTAAATACAAATCTAACATAAACAAGATAAAACATTAAGTAAAATTTGTGGTATAAATTCCTAACAATTGCAACTGGAAGATGAGATCATTTTGTTTCTTTAGAATATACGTTGTATAGTTTTATCAAAGAATATAGACGCATATGCGTCTATATTCTTTGGTTGTATGTTAACACAAACTGCATAATCTTCCCTTTAAGGAAATGGGAGGGAATCTCCAATTAGGGTAGAATTAAGAAGTCGACCTCGTTCAACAGACAAAAAAAATAGATGTTTTCCTTACCTGATATGCTTGAAACCAATGTTTTTGGCATTGACCTTCTTCCAGGCCCCTTGAAGGTAATCCCTGCAAATTCTCGCCGTCAGTTCTTTCATCTCATAGCAGTCTCCAGCAGCAGGCTTCAAAAACAAATCCAAACAAATTTTATAAGTAACTACAATCGGTCTCATAATCACATCACTAAAATCACTTTCACAGGATTTGTAAGAAATATTCGGGAACGCCGCTCTAAAATTCAAATGTCGAAGGTATCTTTGAGGACAAAGATGCCCAATATATACCTGAATATAATATGAAATCAATAGTTTAACGCAGACGTTTCAAAACAGCACAGGCGTGTAGGGCGTGAATATTTCAAAACAAACCCTGGAAAATTGTACATGCAACGCAAATTTACCTTATTCTTTGGCACAATATCCAACATAGTGAAAAAAAAATCACAAAAACAGGAACTTAGAAAAGTGTAAAAATAAATAACCGAAAGATAGCTACAGGTATATCACAGTAACGAAAGATCTCAGTTGAAGTGTATTAATCTGAATAAAATTATGAATATTAATAAAGTCGATTTTTGGTTTATGATTCACAAGTTTAACTTCCAACGAATTTTACTCAAATGTTTTTCACGGCTTCAATACCCGACTTAAATAATCTTCGGACGATAACGACCCGATGTTGCCAGTTGCGTTAGCAGTTTTAAACTTTACGGAATATTTTTTATATAAACAACTAATGTGTTTACATTGAAATTTAAGATGATAACATATGCCTTTTTCAGTTTTATTTTTTTGGTTGATGATAATTTTTTTTTCGAAACTTATCTAAAATATGTAACTTACAAAAATAAAATATTGAAAAATATCTAAATTATTTTTTATAACTCACTAGCTGGCAACTTTGCATGGTCGGTGACGTGGCTACAACGTCGATGTGGAACTAATACGTTTAGCCATAGGCGTAACAGTGAAAGCAATGTTAATATAAATTATATTTCTAATAGGATATGAATTTGGAGACTAGATCTGAGTATTAAAAGGATCAATGTTTAATTTTTCATCTTAATATATTAATTGGTAGCAGTACAACTGGTTTATAACAGACGGTTTTGAAAAAAAGGGAAATATGTAAGGTATTAAAAACAGGTTTGCTATAGTAACTAATATCTATAGCACCTAGACGTTTCGTTTTAAGTGATTTTACTTAATATATATTATAAAGTAACATTGATATTGTTTCGATTTCTTAACGACCCTCTTTTTAAATATGATATTGCCAAACGTAAGAAAATTGACCTGTTTCATTGTCTGCTGAGACATTTTAATAATCTTTGTAGGATTTTTTTGTACCGGTGTCTTTGTAAAATTTACCCAATGTTTTGGGACTGAATTGCTACATTCATAAAACAACCAAAATTTGGTGCCCGTCAAGGAATACCAATATAAAAAAATATTTATCCAAGAGTTCAGTTTAATAATTATCATTTCACATCTAGCAATGGCACCAAAGTCTTTTCATGACGTCGGTTCATCCTGTTGGGGTCTTCCCCGTCTTCTTTTGTCTGCCAGTGCTCATCACTTAAGCGATTGTTTTTGTCCACCTACCGTCTTTCATTCTTGCAGCACTCTCCCATCTCCATGTTTGCCTTGTAATACGTTCGATAATGTCTTTCACTCCAGTTCTCTTCTATTCCACTGATCTCTCCATTTTACGTTATGTCAGTCTCAACTTTTCGCTGATGTATTTGTGAGAGTTATAGTTTCTGCTCCGTGATCCGCTATGTGAGCATTGGCAGAACATACTGGTTGAAAACTTTCCTTTTTAAATGGATTGGGATATTTATGTTAGACACTGTTGTCATTCATTTTTCCGAATTCAACCCATCGTGAACTTAGCTATTCTTCTAAGTAGATCTTGATTGAAATCGTCGTGCATCTCATCTTGTTTCGTAGCCCAAATACACATATTTCTTCACAACTCCTATGGGAGCTTTTTCTATATCTAATAGCTCATTGGGAACGAGATTTAGCATCATTTTTGTTTTCCCATAGTTTATTTTTAAACTGACTGTCTATTTTAATTGCTGTAATTGTAACATAACTCTGGCTTCTCCCAAGTCGTCTGCCATGAAAACAAGATCATCGCCATATCGGAGAAGATTTATTTTCTCTTCATCGATGTTATTACTCTTTGAGTCCCATTCTTATCATTTAAATGGGTACTCCATGACTTATAAATAGTTTTGGTGAAAAGTATCAATTTTTATCTTCTCAATCATGCAATGAAGGTTTACAGTTGTTACATTTTCGTATATCTTTTGTATAATATTTGGATACCTGTGGTCTATTCTATTTTCTAGTGCTTTTAAGATGACGACTGTTTCCATTATGTCAAATGCTTTGTGGAAGTCAACAAAAATAAGAACCAGTGAAGTATTATATTCAATGGACTTTTCAACTAGAGCCTTAACTCATTAGCGCCCAGCGTCCTCGTATGAGGACGGTTTGTTTAGGTGGGGATAAAACAGTTTCTGCGTGAATATTTGGTGATTGCCTACCTCAGTGATTTAGTAGAAACACCACCGTAGGCAGAAGTATATGTATTGGTGTTTTATTTTTATTTTACGAAATACTGGCCCAAGGTGAAAAGTACGATTTTTAGGTTTACTGAACTATACTTAAATCGGCGTGCATAAGTTTTTTATTTGCAAAGGTGAGTTATAAAAATTTGTATTTTTTATTAGGTTACATCCCCAACTTGCTCAAAAAAATACAAAAATGATATAGTAAAAAATGCATTCTTAAATGAGGACGCTGGGCAAATTCATTCAATATATTTTGTGTAAAAAGTCTACATGGCCATTTTGACTAACTGGCTTTTGATTTTAGGATGAGTCGAAAATATTTTCGTAATCTTGAAAGATGCCATTGATTATTTAAATTCGGAACAAAAAGATGTTGATATAGCTGCATTACCCCCGAAGTATACGATTTAACAGACGGGGATGATATCAATGACGATGAATTAGGCATTGCTGAAATGGAAGACATCTCCGGTGTTACTGTAGTTTTTATTGAGGAAGAAGTTGATCATCTAAGGACAATATTCGTGATGAAGATGACTCACCACTTGCACCAATAACCAAAAAGAAAAAATATGAAACAAAAAAAGCGTTTGTACCTAACTGAAGTAAATCCGAACCACAATATGAACATATTGAAGGTGCTAAAGAGTTATATGAAAAGTTTTTTGATTAAGTTGATTACAACCACATCATACCAGAAACACAACGATATGCTACAGAAGAAAACAAAATAATATAAATAATATAAAAATAAATAATAAATAAAAATAACAGCTGAAGAAAGACTACCGATCTAACAGGAAGACTTGAGAAAACCGCTTGTATAAATACATCTAATCCATTTTACAAATAATTTCGAAGCTGACAATAACAAACATGACAAGTCATTCAATATTAGACTTTTGCTAAATCTTTTAAACACGAGGTTCCGACATTGGGAGTGTTTTACCAACACGTAGCTGTAGATGAAATGATAGTGAAGTATTAAGGACATAATTCACTAAAACAATTCATAAGGGCCAAACCAATTCGATTTTGTTTAAAACTGTAAGTGCTGTGTGGTGATAATGTTTACAAGTTACAGTCTCCTTTGATAGTTAAACGAAGAAGGATATTGAGATACAGGACTATTAGGAAAAGTTAAACTTCAAAGTGTCCTACCAAACAATCAAAAGACCTTGAAAAGAAGTCTCTACACGAGACAACGACAACAAAATACTAATATGCAAATGGAACGACAGTAAATGTATTTCTGTTGGAACCAATTATGATACGGCTTTTCCCAGCAACCAACTTCAACGATGGAGTAAAAAGCAAAAAAGTTCGCCAACCATCCGCTATTTCAAATTATAACAAATATATGGGTGGCTTGGATCACCATGACTGGTTGTTAGAAAAGACCATATATGTGTCAAAGGAAAAAAAGGGTATTGGTGTCTTTTTACACGAATGATAGATATAGCTATCATAAATTGATGCGAGCTATACAACAAGGTACATAAAGGGGAAAAATATATCCATCAAAGAATTTAGGCAACAGGTAGCTTATTCGTATCTAAAAAGTGGACAGGGAGTAAGAATAAGCAAAGGTATCCATTTAGTCTTCCAAGTGCATCAACAAGCAATATCTCTGAAGACATTAGATATGACAGTAAAACCACATTTTAATAAAACGAGAAAAACAACGAAGATACCAAAAGCGAAACTATACGTGTCAAAACTACTGTGTGTGTGTACTTACACTGTTTTGAAAAACTACTAAATAAACTTATTTTGGGAAATTAAATTTTTTCTTAAATTTTATAGTAAGCCCAGCGTCCTCAAATGAGGACAGTTGTTTTGTCAAAAATTTGAAAATAAAAAATAAAAACTTTGATAGGACATCACCCGGTAAACTATATTACGAAACAAAAAATTACGTTATTAATGCAAAAAAATATAATTTAAGCGTGAATGGATTAAGCCGCTGCCGATGATCATGTGTTTATGCTCATGGGTTTAAAAGTTTTTACTTTTATCACCTTCATTGTTTCTAGCTTAATATTAATTTCTACAGTTGCTCGGACAATTCTATGATCGCTTTAGGCGTGTTCTCACGAGTCCAGTTTATTTGAACCTATCTTTCAACAGAATTGATCAACTTTTTAGTTGATCAAGAAAAGTTTGACCCAGTAAAACTTTTGTCGTTCAAGTGATGAATCATTACGAATTCTTTTCAAGTTAAACATTGTCTTGAAATGTGTGAACTGGTCAATCAACATTTGTTGACTCTGAAACCTGTTGTGGTTCCTAATGAACCTACATCATCGTCTACATCCATTAGTATTGGCAATGATAAAACTGAGAAAGAAGCGATATATTTAGAAAATACAAAAACTGCAAATCAGCCTAGTACAAAGCAATCCAAAACAATAAGAAGTATCTTTCACGATCGACAGAATCGGAAATGAAAATGGCAGAAAATGATGATATTTCAAATATAACCGCAGCGATTTGTAAACTTAATATGAGAACCTACTGCCTCATCCAAATAAGACGTTACTTATGTTTTTCATATTATTAACAATTCTTTTTTAACAAAACTTCAACAATTTGTCCACATTTACACACAACGGCGTTAGACACCATTTTTAGATTGAATCATTGATTCCATTTTTATTTGAAATATGTGAACAATAATTCATTGAAGTTGTTTTCAACTTTTTTTGAATAAGTATCAAATAAAATTTGTTCAACTAAACTTGACTCGCGAGAACGCGCCGAAAATTGATTTAATATTGTAACATCAATGAATATTATTAAAAAATAAAATTATATTATGATTCTTCTGTTAAGTGTTTTCCTTTATGAGCGTGTTTTTTTGGTATATTATACTTTTTGGTTCTCCTGCACTGTCGAGTATGCTTCCCAGGTAGCTACATTCCTCAATTTCTTTCAGTTGTTTCCCGTCTACGGGTATGTTTTTATTTGTTGTAAGAATTTTATCTTGTTTGTGTTGATATAATATAGTTTTGACTGTTTACATTTTGGTTTTGATTTGTCGTACTGATACTGAAGGGAAGGTAATATATTCGAAACTTCTAGCATAGTAAAAGCTTTCCAGTTTATTCCAGCATGTTCTCGCGTTTTTATATCACCTAGTTAATCACAATTAATATGATGAACACATTTGTCGCATTCCGGATTGTGCATATATATCGGTTGGATCAAAGTTCTGCTATTTGCTATGTAGTTGTTCTAATCTTCATGGAGTTGAAACGGTCCAATCCAAATTTTGTTCCGTTAACTGGGTCAATTGCTTTATAAAAGCGGATAAATTATTCTTAATTTACAAAAATATTATCGATATCTGGTCTTCGCGGCCTAATCGTTGATTGGTTTCCTCGTAGATTTTTATTTAATACCGTTTTCATTCTTTCTACTGTTACTCGAGTTATGATTTTACTCGTTGTATATAAAAGCGGTTTTGGCCTGCAATTTTGCATTTGTTTTTGTCCTGTCTTCGGAAGTTTTATTTTCAAGTAACCATGCAATTAGTAATTCTTCTTCCATTCATATTTGATTAATAAATATTTACCAAACGTATAGTAGTTATAGTGATAATTGCATTTGGTCAATAATTTGGTCACTTTCACATATGTTTTTCCATTTATAGGTTATTTGGCGCTTTTTTATTTTCTGCTTTCTTAACGCCGTTGTTAATACTTAACATATCATTTTTCATTGATGCTACGTTCTTTTGATATATTTCTTGAAAAAATCCCATTCATCTTCAATGAATTTTCCGATTTGTTTTATAACGTTCATTTTCATAAATTGTTCTTGCTGAATTTAAGGATTTTTTTCCTATTAAACTATCGAAAAATTCTTTATAATTGTTTCTTTTCGTGGATTTTTGTAACTTGCCCGCTAATGCCCAAAAATGGCAACTTTAGGGACTAGCTAGATGCTCTCATCGGAGTGTGAATGGAGGAAGCGAGATCCTGACTCAACCTGAGTGGAGGATACCCTAAAAAACCGATTGTGCGCTTTGGGTAGCCAGATAGTGCACCCGACCATGATTAACCAGCGATAGTTTACAACTTGCCAAAAATCTCGCACGTCCTCCAGTCCTAATTGCTGATTGTAGGGTGACTGACTCCGTTCGGCTCGCGGAGATAAGAATACGACCGAGGACAGAAGACCCTGCCTGTCGTAAGAGGAAATTTATAGGTGGGTAATGAGAGGTGGAGAGCCGTCGTTCGAGGTGTCGGGTCTGTAGAAACGCACTCGAGATGCTTAGTCATCTCGGTCACCGGTCTACACTCCTAGTATCCGAGACGAGCATCTCGTGGGGCCACTCTACTCTCATTTCACAAGAGCTAAGTGAGGTTGAACGAGCTGGGCCCGTTAATACCTCCCACGGCCTTACACCACTGAGGGTGGTGTCGGTGTCCCGGCACGTACCTACCTAGAAAGATATGTTTACTTAGAGTCGCTGAAGCGTTCACTGGTATGATGCCGTATCCCTGAGCCAGTTGTCCGGTGTATCAGGTTGATGATGGAGCCCAGGTAAGTTACCGTGAAGTGTGCGGGGGCAAAATTAACTATGCCCATTAAAAAGGAATATCCCTAAGGGGTGATTATTTGCTGTGATCGACCTTGCTGTTTTCTTTAGGGAAGAAAATCTATATACATTGCATAACTTGCCACAAAGCACATTTCAAGATTTGGAAAAGAGTAGTCGGAATTTCTCTTTAAGAATTAGTTAAAGGAAATTAAGAGGTCGTAGTATTTACGCAGAGGCGGAAATTCCTGTTGGAACCGCTGATACAAAAGTATCAGGTAGTGATAGATAGTAATCTATCGTGGAAACCACATGAGGTAAGCAGGACTCGCAATGTCACAACAATTCTGATGCAACGCAGAAGAGTTATGGGTAGGGCCTGGGGTATTAACCCAAACAAACATGTTTTGTCAGATCTGTACCCGTCCACGGATGATGTCTTTTAAAATTTCTTCAAAAGATGTAAAGGTTAACGTGTACAAGGTATAAACGAGTGGACACAGAACACAAAAAATAATGGCTACTCCTTAAGTAGAATGGAGGTGGCCAGACTGATCAAAATAAAGAATAACTACCTTTCATACAGGCTTCAATCTGCTAATGAACAAGCAGGCTCGCTTATTGAGAGGAAGAAGAAGAGGCATAGAGGAATAAGAGTGTGTTCCTGGGTACAGTATTACTTAGATAATATCGCAATGTATCGAATTATTAAACCGAAGAATCATGAGAGGAAAATTCATCTGTGAAAATGGTATTTGGAGGAGGAGGTACTATGAAGATACTACTAAAGAACTATGAGATATACCACAAATACAAACAGATATCTGGTGGTAAAGACGCGATAACCCATAAAACTAGGAAGAGTAAGATGGGCAGGGCATCTAGCAAGGTCGCTGAAGAACAACCCTCCTAGACGAATTCCCATATATCACTGCACCAAATAGGTGCAGCAAACTGGCAAAAGTTGACAATTTTAAGGGGTGACTGGCGAAATAAACTTAAGAAGACTTAGTGAAGCATCAGGGGAACAAAACCTTTAAGTTAACTAGTAACTCATAACATAGTTTGAATTAGATGTTTACTTTCGTTGTAATTTAAAGAGGGTTAGTACGACACGCGTTGGAATGCATTCGTAATTTTATAATATTTTTCATTCACGCGACATAATATTATGCGAACTATATGTTATGTAAACTGACCTGGTTAGATGTTCTAAAAACCATACCGCTTTAAAAAAAAAAAGAGAAATCTATTAAGAACTATTTGCTGACAGAGTTATGTTACCTAACGCATAGCGACCTACCACAATGTCAATATATTAGAATCGTCTTAAATTGCAAGGAGTAATAGCTGTAATAGCTAATAAAGTAATAGCTACTTAGATAGACGAGACTCACACGAGGCTGTACTATAGGGCTGTAGCACCATTGATGATGATGATATCGCAATGTAACTAACAAATCATGGTTTTTAATTTGCCGCCCCTTTACCGTTAAAAAATTATTGTATTAAATTAAGTATCATGTTTATTAAGCTTATCATGTTTAATAAGTTTATTAAGTTAAGCATCGGAGCGGTCTGTGAGAACGGAATATGGAGGCGTAGATATAACTTTGAACTGCAGAATATCTACAAGCATACGTTTGGTGGTAAAGGTATTACCACTATAATTAAGCGAAACCGCCTGCAGTGGGCAGGACATGTAGCCCGGGCCCCTGAATCGAACATAATAAAAAAGATTCTAACAGCGTAACCGTGGGAATGAGAAGCCGTGGTAGACCAAATCTGGGGTGGATGGACGGGGTAATACAAGATGCCGAGAAGATCGGAGTCGGAAAATGCAAGCAAGGGACAGAACAGAATGGCGTAGAAAGCTTGAGAAGGTCCAGGCCCTCTAAGGGCTGTAGCACCAAGATGATGATGAAGCATCATGTTGATCGGATAATGTTAGAGCAGATTTTTAAAATGCCCTTTTAAGTGTATAAACTAAAACGTTTTGTTTGTTTTCTCTCTTATCAAAGCATTTTTGAAACCAATACATTTAATTTATAGTTATGTATACTTCCAATGTAAAATGAATCATTTGCGTGACGGCGCGATAAAATATTACATTTCGTGTATATAAGATCATTCGTCTGTCTGATGACCAACCCTATTGATACATTATAATAAACAACATAGATAGTTTTCTTACCTTCGAAGTGCGGAAAAATATAAGCCGCTGTAATTTTAGCGAACTAAAAGAGAGGTGCGTGAAGGCAATCCAACTTTTCCATATCCTAGTACATAAATTTATACTCGAACAAACATAGTTCATGATAACTTTAAAAAATAAAAAACTTCAACGCAGATAGTAAAGGTCACATATAATGTGGAAATAATTAATATAGACCCCAGTACTTTTCCACAATCCAAATAACTCAATGACAGAAAAGATAAACTGGACAAAAAATTTTGGTTTGCATTAGTTTATATTATACATATAGATAAAAAGGCGGTGTGATAAGAGTCGCGAATGAATGAGGCTGGTACCAAAATGACCGTGATATATTACATTGCGTACATTCTATTCTTTATAAAAGATGTATTCTCTCCAAGATGATGAAAATTTTATGGCAACGACGTTTTTGGCGATTATAATGTTGAAAAAATTCTCAAAAACAAAGTATTTAAGGTTCAAATAAAATTAATGGAAGAGACTATTTCTTTTATCTATTACTTATAAATTTTACAGTTTTTATTTTCATTGTATTGTGGGAGCTGCAGTAGCTCCTGATCTCATTCATAGATCCATTACTATATGATATAACTACTTTTTTTTGAGGGTTTTGTGAAAAAGTTGTGTACACCCAAATACAATTGAATAATTTCAGTTTCAGTTCCATGTTCACATTTAATTTTATTGACATCTGTGTCGTTTCATCGTCGATAGTATTCAGCAAGTTACCAACCAGATGTACAAATAGAAACTGATGGCATCCGTATTGAACAAAGCATCAATTGATGGCTTGAGTATTGACAAGCCCAAATAGATGGATACAGACCGCGTATTATACATAAATTTATACTGGAACCACAATCGCCATATTAAGAAAAAATCTTGTGAGATGAACCGACGGAGCGAGTCCCGAAATATGCTTGTGCTGGAGTCTTAGACAAGGATGTATACTTTCACCTATATTATTCAACCTACTTTCAGAGGAAATATTTAGTGAAGCCTTGGACAATTGCGAACATGGAATCCTCTTAAATGGTGAAAGCCTAAACCAACATCCGCTATGCAGATGACCGTTATTTTGCAGACAGTTTATAAACAGTTATACAGCAGCTAATAAACAAAAGTAATGAAAGTAAGTGAAATATTTGGACTACAAGTATTATAACATATCAAAAACTTAATTTTGGGGTCATCAGCAAAAATAAAATTAGAGACGTCCAACTGCTTATCAAGAATAGCTACACAGTGGACCAAGTAAAACAGTTTACCTACTTGGAACGATAGTAAACGAATAATGGTATCACTCACAAGAAGTGAAATGGTAGAATAGAGAAGCTAGGAGTGCATTCAACAACATGGCTACAACCTTTTAAAGCACAACCTTAGATTGGAGATAAAGTAAGGACTCCTTCGATGTTATATCTTCTTGATATTATACTACGGAGTTGAATCCTGGACACTCACTTCAAACGATGGAGGCACAATTGATGCCTTCCCGGGATGTGGCTAGTCTACCGTAGATTCCTACGGATCTCAAAGGAACGGATCAGCTAACCAACGAGACTGTACATACGAAGGATGGGAAAAAAAAGTCGAAGCGGCTGTATAACATTCTACGGAGCAAGTTCGAATATCTCGGACACATAATGATACCATGGGCACATCACGAGGATACTCACCATCGGCAGAAAGACGTAACTTCGGTCCGAACACTGCCAAAGTTGGCAGTGACACCCTTCCATAGAGGTATTAATGCCCAATGAACAAGCAGAATTGCTTTCTAAAAAGGAAAAATGAAGAAGAAGAAAATATTGGTATCGCTTCACTAGGGGTTTTAAAATCTTAACTCTAAGGTCTATGTATAGCTGCATGGGCATCAATCGTCAATTTAATTTTAGCCAACTATAAACATGCAGTGCAAGGAATAGTTCCAATCTCAATGGATTGTCGTAAATCAGTGTTATGTGGTCTAAATGTATTAAAGGCGTTAAGCAAGTAATAATTAATCGGACATTTATAAGTGTTATTTAAAAAGGTTCTAAAACAAACATTTAACGCAAGGTCCAAATGCATCTAGATTATAAATGATGATAAATGATCAAATTATTACGGACAATTTGTTGCCTCGAGAAGGAGACTATGGACGTATTGGACAGTTCTAAGTTAAAAAAAGTCGGCGGATGGTGTAGGACTAAAAGGGCGAGGAGCAGACACAACTTGATACACGGGAAAGTCGAGCCTACAGCTTTGAGACTACAGTCTCAAAAAAGTATTCAAAACGCACAGACTGCAATCGTATTGGTCTCTATCTGACGTTAAAGACAAAAAAATATATGGGACACACAGATGGAACGACTGTGTAGCAGAGGACTTAAGAGTAGAGAAAGAAGAAGGACACATAATGATCTACGAACAAACAGAAAAGACATTGATTTATTTTTTTTTCCATACGTGCTATTATCCCAACGATTTTATTAGCAAATCAGATGTTAGTATTTGTTCGTTTATCAGAATTTTAAAATAGTACAGTACAAGCCGCTAACTTCCACGGCTGTTTTTATAATTTTTTTTTGTTTATGTGGTAAATTTCGAGAAGTAGCCTTTTTTTAGTTATTTTCTATATCTCAGATCTTGACATCGTGATCTTGATCAAGACATAAAGTATGTCTTTCCAGCCATTCTAGCTTTTCAATTAAACTTTCACATATTTTTAGCATTTTGTTACACTACGAGAAGAAACATATGATGTTTCTGCTCATAGTTTTCAATTTAATTACTCTAGTCTTTGGCCTATAATGTTCAGTATTTCTCTGTCATCTTTTTGTTTTCTTGTTAGAAAAGCTGTAATTCCTCTGTTATATTTTCAGACAACGCCATTAACTTTCTTGGCTCAAAAAATCAATTGAAAGAAGTTGAACAATTTTTAAAGAATTAGGATACAGAAGCTTCAATAAAGGATTTTCTGGCTTGTTCAGAGATCACTTAAAAATTTATTTCTCCTCACGCCCTCAACATAGTGGAATCTGGGGAGCGCTTATTCTTGAAAACTAATGCTCACTTTCGAAATTTCTCCGCGGTATTGACTCAAACAGAGGCTGTCCTCAATTGTCGTCCCCACTGTGCCATGTCCAATTAGCCTGGGATCTGACAGCCCTTACACCTGGTTATTTTTTAATAGGCAAACTATTTACCTCTTTTCCAGAAGCCAATCTAAGTGAAATACCATAATCTAGGTATTATTTGAATAGGGTACAAAACCGTTCCAAATTGCTCACATCAAATAATAATGTTCAAGTGGATGATCTTGTTCTTTTGAAGAAAGATTATACACCACCTTTATATTGGCCACTTGCTAGAGTGATAGAGGAATAAAAAGAAATCACAATTATTCCAACAGAACCCCTACGTAATAAAATTGCAGGTTGTGTCACACATTTGATGAAACGTCTTAATCATTCACAGGTGGGTGGAATTTCCATCAAATTGCAAGAAAAAGAACGTGAAAGACGTGATAATTATGTACCAGAAGTCTCTGCTCTTGAACATATCATTGACGTTGGTCCAGAGACCAACGATATGTTGAAAATGCTTGATTTTAACAATATCAGCGGATTGCAGTTAACACAACCAGTTTTAATATTAACAATTAACAGGAATGGCAAGGTCCGAATTGTTAATATTAAAACCAAGTATTGAATTTTCACTCGTCCTATCACCAAATTGTGTGTATTGCCAGAAGAACATTATTTCTAAATATGCTGTAAGGATCACCTTGTATATTTTATAGTACTATATTTTTTTATTGTATAGATTTTGTATCCCTCGGCTCCTAACGGCAAAAAAAGAACGATTATGTAAGTGTGTGTGTATAAATTTTGTATGGTTTAACCTTGGCATCATTATATTTAGGAGATTCTCTTATATATCAATCGTTGTTGTTTTATGTTTAGGTAATAGTTCTAGGTTAATAGCTTTAATATTATCAATGTATTGGTATAAGCGTTTTTTTTTCTATTTACTCTCTTTGATCTTGATTTATCGTTTATATCCATTTTTTTTCTTTGCGAAGCAATGCTTCCAGGTCCGGCAGTATGTTGGAAAACCAACTATTATAAACTTATAAATTTATATTATTTTAAATTAAATTACCACCTTGTCAGATGTCCAAATACCGGACAGTTGGAAGTTGTCAAAGGCCACTCCTCCTTGACATTCAGATAGCTTCCGCTTCCTCACAAAAAATCACTTCCGCCTCCTCACAAAAAATCACTTTCGATTTCCGCTTCCTCCGCCCTTACAGTCTCATTAAGTCAAAAATTGCATAAAATTAACAAATGTCAATTTATTTCAAATTTCGGATTTTAATTAATATTTATCTAACGTTCATTTATTACCAAATGTACCGATTGAAATTCCTATTATTACTCAACTTCCCTGAGATAGAATCTACAAGTTACGAAATTTTTTACATGTAAACAACTGTGCAGTTTAAGAGGAGAACAAAAATTGCAAATAAACTAGAAAGTTTAGCCTATTTTTAATGTTGTGGGAAGTTAATATATCAATCTTCGAAAATCTCTCGAGTTGGCAATTGACGAACAAATGATTCCGTTCACTGGCACCTCAAGTCTACGAGAGTATGTTAAGAACAAACTTAATCCTATAGGTTTGAAGAATTTTGTGCTTGCTTCAAAAACAGGGTTAGTTTTGGATTTTTTAATTTATCAAGGTGCAAACACTTGGCCTAATGCTACTCCTGACAAAACCTTGGGCATTAGAGGCTCTGTCGAGGAACAACAATTTACTTTGATGGATATTTCACCTCCATTAATTTACTCGATTACTTATTAGAAAAAGAAATACTTGGTATTGGTACCATTATGAATAATCGAATTCCGCGAGTACTTAGGAGCAAAATAAAAAAGATTCTGCTTTACTAAAAGAAGGCCGAGGGTCAAATGAAGAATGGGTACTTGGTGATAATAAAGTATCTATTTTGAAATGGATGGACAATAGATCTGTGACAATGGCTTCTACATCTGCAGGTTCTTTGTCATTGACTGACGCACGAAGATGGGATAAAAAAAATTCAAAGTAGATTTCTGGTGCCTTGCCCAAATATAATTGTTAAATACAATCAGTCAATGGGGGGCAATTGTGTGACACATTTATTTCATACTACTAGAATCTGTATTGCGCATGTGTGTATCTTTTGGAACTTTATTG